GGATGAACTCTCTTAAGAGTCTTATCTCTATCCAAATAGAGAGCCTCAAACCATCCAGGCAAGGTCTTAAAAACCAGAACTGGCCAATCGGTTCAACTAGTTGAACCACTGGCCGGTCCAAGTTTCGGCCCGGTTAGCCACCTTGAACTGTTCAAAGATGAAAACTGTTCTATTTAGTGAGAACCATTCAAACTGACGGTTTAACTGGCGAACCAATTGACTCGTGAACGGGTCAAGAAAACCGGAGCAATTTGCATATAATGTATATATATATAAAATCCCCAAATCCTACGTTTCTTTTCTTTGCTTTTTTTCACTGTTGAAGCCGATTTAGATCTAGGGCTTTCGAAGTTCGACATATGAAACTCTCTCCTTTTGTCTTATTGCTCATATTCATCCACCATCACCATTAACAAATACCAAATAAAGCATGAGACTAAAACTTAGTTGAGCCCCCTGCTCAAGTTCTTCAACTCTTCTTTGCATCATTCTTGCCGACAAAGACCGAAACGCAGATTTCAAAACTTTCTATGTGTTTTACAATTTTCAGTTTTATTTTACCTTTCTTAGTTTTTATTTTCTAACTTTTATATTTTATTGTTGTGTTTTTAATTTCTATTAACCCTATAGTTCATGTTATTTTTTAAATTATGAAATTATGATTGATTATATTTAGGATTTTTTTGTTTGAAAATATAAAAAAAAAAAATTACTAAAAACATTTAAAATTAAAAAAAATCTTTAAAATTTAATATCTATATTGTTAATTTATAAGTTTTTGAAAAATTATTTATGACATCACGGTTCAATCCACACTGCGGGGAATTTAGCTTTCAGCAGCATTTTAAGTGCCAAAAACGTCACTAATTCTTTTTGTGACGCTTAGCACCAAACACCAAGGACACGGCTGTCGTTGTAGCATTGTGGCGCTTTAGAAATATCATTAATTTGTTATTAAAACACCGCTAAATGTGGTACATAACGGCAAGGTGACGCCATAACAATTTTTAGAGATGTTTCAAAAATGTCGTCATAGCTTTTTTTTAAAAAAAAATTAAAAAACCAATTGTTAGGTATATAGTGGCGTTTTGAAAAATGCCATTATATCTTTATTTTTTTAATTATTTTTTTGAATTGTGCTAATTCTATGTGGTTGAACTAAAAAAATACTTGTAATAAAATTGAAAAGTAGCACTAATATGAAACAATAACTCTCATTTCCATTCAAATGAACATTTGTCAAAAGATAAGCCGATTATATGAAAAGCTGTCAAGTAGCAAATACAACATTAATTCACTTTCTCATTCAATTTAATATCCAATCACCATTAATTACGAAAACATATCCACAAATCATGTTTTAACATTTGCCAAAAAATAATAGAAAAAACATCAAGACAAACCCCATGAGTTATGATTTAATTTAATGTCTTGTCCTTGTTACTAAATTCACTGAACTCAACTGATATAGCATAGAATTTGTAGTCTTCACTAGTCTGGATACCTGCATCTGAACATGGAAGCCAAATCAGGTAAAGTGCATAAATCAATAACAGTAGAAGTGTTACAACTATAGAACATAAGATCTACATTACAACTCACCATCTGTGAAGAAGGTTTTGTACCTGGAAGAACAATTTAAACAAATCAGTCATTTCTAAGGCTTTGAAACTGTAGGAAAAGGCAAAAAAAAAAAAAAAAAAAAGAGAGAGAAGAAAGACAAATATAAATTTTTTTTTTTACCACGCTTCTATCATAAAGAGCAGTTTTTTTTTTTTCAACAATCTTTTTTCTTACATACAATAAAACAAAAGATTATGTACAGTGGGATGAGCTTTATCAATCAAGAGCTGACATGCACATCCAAGGAGATACAAAATTGAATAAAGAAAGCCAATTCTCAAGCAAGTTATATCTATGTATGTATTATGCATTTGAACTAAGGAGTTGTCAAAATAAGAGCCGAACAAATCCAAATGTCTAAAGTATGCTTCATATCACCAGAAAAATATCATCTCACCATGGCTAGATGAAAGCCACAGAGGTACAAAAATTCTTTTAGGGAGGACCACATATCACGTGACTTATAAAAACTATCATATCAGTATTGCTTTGGTTTGGATCTTTAGAATCTTGTCCATCTTGTAAGAAAAATCAGTGAGATAATTGCATAACATGTCACAAAAACTTTAGTTGATATGAACAACTATAGGAACAGATAAACATATCAACTAAATTGTTCTGTGCCGTAAAACGAACAAATCACTATTTTAAAAAAATTGAACTTGCAGCTACTTTAGGGAAACATATGAAGACTAACCAATAAATTGTTCTACATTAATAAAATACTCCAATAGGAATGGATGATCCAAAATATCACCCTCTAATTTCTGAAGTTCCATGACCCAAATTGGATTCCAATTCTCCATGGAAATTGTAACAACCCCAACCCGTGATTAACTATTAATTCGTGATTATATGTAATTCAGAAGAAATCATGTGTTAAATGCATGAATTATATGTTAATTGCATTTATATCTGTCTATCGTAGAAGTACCTATTTGTGTCTCTGTTTGGTTCAGTGAATTGAAGGCCTTATCGACATCCGATCATGAAATTGACTTGATTTATGTGTTATTTGAAATTTTTAGAATTTTATGGTAGGTTGAATTGAAATTCGATTTGGAACCAAAATAATTAGAATAAACTGATTCCAATTAGTTATCTTTAACACAAATTAATTAAGTTTCATTAATTGAGCCTATATAAGGCTAATTTGATTCCATGAGTTCATTTTGCACCTTCATTTGAACCTCTTTGAGCTCCAAACACGAGGGTGAGTGAAAAGAGTGACCTTAAATTTATTTTGGAAAGGAATTAAGCTCAAGTGAAGGGAATGGCTAGGAAGTGAAGGCATTGGACTTAGAGACTCAAGAATTAAGTCTTTAGCTCTCACTTTGAAAAGCCTAGGTAAGAATTCAACCCTTAGATTGTACAATTATGATGTTTACGACATGAATTCTAGAGAATTAAGTTGTGTAATACAAAAATTGAGCTAATAAGTTGGTAGGAAGATCATATCTTGCATGCATGTTCATTTCACCACAATTTGAGTATGATTTCTTTGAACAAGAGAATTCTTTCAAAGAATTCAACATGTTCTTGTGCGTAACACCTCATTTGAACAAGGTTTAAAGCTTTGAAGCCAAGAACCTTCACATGTTATGTTCATGAAACATCAAGTTTGATTTCACACAATTGACATGCTTTTGGGGCTTGATTTTTGCGAAATGATCTTCAATTCATGATATTCTATAAATTTCCAAATGTTTTCTTGAGTTTTGGCCCAAGAGGATGAGTTTTGATGTGTTAAATTCGAGTTTTGAGCTTGGGAGTGCAATCTAAAAATTCCAAAATTCTGCTCCTCCGCTCGAGCGACAGATTCTGTGCTCGAGTGACCACCTTTATTTTTTTGCACCTCCGTTTGAGCGACCAAAAGTTGGCTCGAGCGTAAATTGCATGCTCCTAGAAATTTTCATGTTTTGCAGACCGCTCGAGCAACAAGAGTTGCGCTTAAGAGAAAACCTCAATCTTACGCTCGAGCGACCATCGAGCATGCATCGAGAAAAAAAATCAAGTAACCAGTATTTTTGCAAAGTTTACAGACCGCTCGAGCGACCTCTCATATGTTTAAACGTCCGCTCAAGCGAAGGAAGTTGCGCTCGAGCAAGGCCCCTGTTTTTAGCATAATTGACTAAGTGTTTTCAAGTATATTTTAGCATCCTCATTGCATCCTAGGCATTCCTAGGCCAAGATTAAGGAATAATAATGAGGATAAGACTTACAAACACACGAAGAATGAAATGAAATAAGTTAAGTACGATTCGAGCGTGTGTTTCAGTATGTGTATTTATTATGTTTGTGTAAGTCACGCGTCGTGAACTGTTGATCCATTGGTTGCTATCAAGCTATCTGTGCAACTATCAGTGAGTGATAACGTAGTAAAGCTATGTTTGATATGAAGTACTTTCTAGACATTATGATATGACATGAACTGTTTTTAAATGATACAAAATGCTATTTTGTGATTCCATGAATGATGATCTATATCTTTGACAAGTATTTGTGGTATCCTTAGTAGAGGCCCTCGCCTAGGGGACATAATACTGAGGCATATGGTCATGAGGCCTTCGCTCAGGGGAAAGAATACCGTGGCCCATGTATGAGATATGTTACCCAGTACCGGAGGTTCCATTATGGAACTTGTTATGCTTGACCAAAGTGATATATTAATGCTAATGGAAGTACCACACATGATTTGAATATGATTATGAACATGACTCTATTTTATTACGACCATGCTTATCTCTCTGACTGATATGATATGAAACTGGACATCATTCATTAAAATCTTTACTCTATTATTGTTCACTGAGTTTTTGCTCACTATATATGTATCATGTATGTAGGTGACCAGGCGCATGACCAGACTCAAAGTTGATGACCTAAAGTCTCTGTTTGTCGACCAACCATTGTGCTTCCCGAGGAGGTTCCAAAAAGAGTTTTGTGGTCGAGTTTTGCGAACTTTTGTTGTTTTGTAAATAGTTCTTTTGCCTTACTTTGTATTATGACGATGGAGAATGGATAAGTAAATGATGTCATACGTGGGTTTATCTATATCAGTTTTAAATGTTTTTATCTTATGTATGTTTCTACATTTGCTTTTGCTAGCCCCTTATAGTTTGTTATTCAGGTCAGAGGCCTTCGATAATCCGAGGATTACTGGTTGGTATGACGCTAAACTTTAAGGGACGGGTTTGGGTCGTGACAAAGTGGTATCAGAGCACATATTATACCGTACACACAAGTCCATATGAGTTATAGGATGTCCTAGAAAAGAATTACGGACATTTCATTTGCATGTGTCAATGTGTGTGTTAATTCTGAAACTGAATCTGAACATAAACACATGAAATTGAAACGAATGATTTGCTCATCATATGTTGGATACGGACTATAAGAAGGCTCAAAAATTTGAGAGGGGATTAGATTTGGATGTGTTTGATCGAGTAGGCATCCTGAAGTTGCCTACTTATGTGGAAGTATTTGATAGAGCATTGATGGCAGAGGCCACTCTAGCAGCAAAGAAACAAGTTAAAGCTCTAACAACGGAATGGAGAGGAAAGAGACGCGGCTTCAATTTCAGAAAGGGTCGGTCATTTTCAAAGAAGCAAAACACGAGATCCTCCAGTAGCTCGAGTCAGAGTAATGGAACTATTCCAGTTTGCCCTGATTGTAGAAGAAAGCATAAAGGAGTGTGTTACCATGCATCAGGAGCCTGTTACCGGTGTGGCAAGGTTGGCTATATAATGAAAGATTGTCCACTTGGGGCCGAGAATGCCAATCACCCCGCAGAAAGTTTGGCCAGATCTGCTTCTGTAACAAGGTCAAATGTTAGAACTAATGTCAGAGGTAACACTGGAAATGTGACGTTAAGGCAATGGAGAGTATTCGCACTGGTGCCTGGAGACGTACAGAACACCGAGTCTGTGGTGTCAGGTATAATTTCCATCTATCCTCAAAATGCGTATGTCTTGATAGATTCTGGTTCTTCACATTCGTTTGTGTCGCGTGCCTTTTCTCGAAAACTGACTAGACCTTTAGAACCCATGAATTATTTATTGTTTGTATCTATGCCATTCTGGGGCTCTATGGTATGCGCTTATGTTTATCTAGCATGTGATATTGTGATTGGTGATATGATATTGTATGTTGATTTATTACCTTTGGGAATTGATCATTTTGACTACATATTGGGTATGAATTGGTTAACGAAGTATTGTGCATTGATTGTGTGAATAAATCTATTGTATTTCGTCCATCTGGTTTACCTGAATTTGTATTTGTTATGAATAGCGTAGTTCCTCCCCCGTATTTGATTTCTGCCATGAAAGCTATTAAACTGCTTAGGAAGGGGTGTATGGGCTATATGTGTTATGTTTTGACTGAGACTTCTGATTGTTCTAATGTGGAAACTATTCTTGTTGCTTGTGAATTTTCTAATGTGTTCCCGATAGAATTGCCTGGAGACTTAATTGATAAAGAAATTGAATTCACCATCGATGTACTACCTGGAACACAACCAATATCCGAAACCCATACAGAATGTCAACTTCTGAATTGAAAAAATTAAAAGCTCAACTTCAAGAATTTTTAGACAAGAAGTTTATCTGCCCGAGCGCGTCACATTTGGGTGCTCCAGTTTTGTTTGTCAAGAAGAAAGATGGATCTTTAAGGCTGCGTATAGACTATTGGGAATTGAACCAAGTGACTATCAAGAACAAATACTCATTACCTCGAATAGATGACCTATTTGACTAACTCTAGGGGACACAAGTGTTCTCCAAGGCCCCGTTTGTTTTAGGAGATAGAGGTGGGATTGAGATAGAGATAGAGGTGGGACCCACTATATGTTGTGTTTGTTTTGGGAGATGGAAAGGGAATTCATAATCCCATGGGATTAGGATGGGCCTTGGTGTTGGGATTGAGATGGAGGAGGTGGAGATAGTATTAGGAAATTAGTTCCTTGGGATTAGGTTTTTTTTATTTTTTATTTTTTTATTTACATGTTGGGCATTTTTTTTAAACATTAATGTTTAATGTTTTTGTATTTTTTTGTTAAGTAAAAATCATAATTTTATTTGTTTTCATATTTTATATTTCTTTTATAGGGTAATAATTTAACAATTCCCGCATTAACAACTACCATCAAAACAAACACAATTTTACTTAATCCCCTTATTATCAATCCCCTCACTAACAATCCCCTCACTAACAATCCCCTCACTATCAATCTCCTCCATTCTACCTCTGAAAACAAACGGGGCCCAAGATAGACCTTAGATCCGGGTATCACCAGCTAAAAGTTAAAGCAGATGACGTAGAGAAAACTGCATTCAGAACCAGATATGGACACTATGAATTTGTGGTAATGCCATTTGGGGTAACAAATACACCTGCAGCGTTTATGGACCTAATGAATAGGGTTTTCAAACAATTTGTTGATAAATTTATCGTTGTATTTATTGATGATATACTGATTTACTCCAAAAGTAGGAAAGAACATGAAAATTACCTGAGAACTGCCTCGCAGCTTTTGAGAGAAAAGAAGTTATATGCAAAATTTTCTAAATGTGAATTCTAGCTTGACAGTGTAGCATTTCTAGGACATGTGATCAACAAGGATGGTGTATCAGTGGACCCACAAAAACTTGAAGCCATTATAGACTAGCCAAGGCCGACCAATGTGTCAGAAATTAGAAAATTTCTGGGGCTTGCTAGCTATTATCATAGATTTGTGAGAGACTTCTCTAAGCTTACTATGCCATTAACACAGTTGACACAGAAAAATGTACCATTTGACTGGACTGATCAGCGGGAATTAGCCTTCCAAGAACTGAAAACTAGATTAGTAACTGCACCAATTCTAACATTGCCTAATGGAACCGATGGATTTCAGATTTATAGTGATGCTTCCTACAAAGGCTTGGGGTGTGTATTAATCCAGAATGGGAAGGTAATTGCATATGCTTCTCAGCAACTCCGATCGCATGAAAAGAATTACCCAACTCATGACCTTGAATTAGCAGTTGTGGTCTTTGCATTAAAGATTTGGCGCCATTATCTATATGGAGTGACTTGTGAGGTGTACACTGATCATAAAAGCTTGAAATATTTCTTTACGCAGAAAGAATTGAACATGAAACAGAGACGGTGGCTTGAATTAATAAAAGACTATGATTTGCAGATTCTGTATCATCTAGGAAAGGCAAATACAGTTGGAGATGCTTTGAGCCGGAAATCCATTGCCAATTTGTCATGTTTGCTCACCAGTTAGAAAGAACTGTTATGTGACTTGGAAAAAGATGGAATCGAAATTGTGTTGCGTGAACAAGGTGGAGTCTTAGCTGCTATTTATGCCCAACCTACAATTATTGAAGTGATTAGAGAGAAACAACTGCAAGATGAATTTTTGAAGAAGATTGTGGATGAAATTGACTCAAAACCAAGGTTGGGATTTGTGTTTGATAATAATGTGTTGAAATTTCAGAACTGACTTTGTGTACCGGAATGTTTTGATTTGAGGAAACGAATTATGGTCGAAGCCCACAATTTGAAATTTTCTATGCATCCGGGTAATACGAGAATGTACAAAGATTTGAAGCAAAACTTCTGGTGGCCTGGAATGAAGAAAAGTATTGTTGACTATGTAGCTAGATGTCTGCATTGCCAACAAGTTAAAGTCGAGCATCAGCAACCCGTTGGATTGCTTTAGCTGCTTCCGATAACGGAGTGGAAATGGGAGCATATTACCATGGACATCATTGTAGGATTACTTCGCTCTTCTCAAGGTCTGGATCTATTTGGGTAATTGTTAATCGTTTGACTAAATTCGTACATTTCTTACCTGTCAAAACTTTTTATAATGCAGATAAACTGGCTAACATGTATATGAATGAGATTGTGAAATTACACGATGTGCCAGTGTCTATTGTATCTGACAGAGATCCGAAGTTCGATTCAATATTCTAGTAGAGTCTACAGCAAGCTTTGGGAACTGGGTTAAGACTGAGCAATGCATATCACCCATAGATAAATGATCAATCAAATAGAATGATAATGAATTTAGAAAATATGCTCAGAATGTGTGTCCTAGATTTCCAAGGCAATTGGGAGACCTACTTACCACTGGTTAAATTTGTATATAACAACAGCTACCATTCAAGTGTCAGTATGACTCCTTATGAAGCTTTGTATGATAGAAAATGCCGTTCTCCAATCTGTTGGGCTAAGGTAGGTGACAGACCTTTATTGGGACAAGAACTTTTGCAAGAAACAATAGAAAATGTGAAATTGATTTAACAAAGATTGAAAACTGCACAGAGCCGCCAAAGAGTTATGCAGATGTTCGAAGAAGAGATAGAGAATATGAAGTCGGGGATCACATTTTTATCAAAGTTACTCCAATGAAAGGGCAAACTTGGTTTGCTGTGAAAAGAAAACTGGCACCGAGATATGTTGGGCCATATGAAATTCTTGAGAAGATCAATCCAGTGACATGTCAGGTAGCTTTACCGCCGGTTATGGAACATATGCATAATATTTTCATGTTTCGATGCTTCGGGACTATTTACGAGATCCACTTCATATGATTGAGTCAACCCGTGTGCTTCTGAAACATGACTATACGTACGAAGAGAGGCCAATTCAAATTGTGAATCGCAGAATCAGAAGGTTGAGGAACAAAGAAATACCATTAGTAAAAGTTAATTGGCAAAATCATGGAGGAACATATGCAACATGGGAGACGGAAGAGGATATGATTAAGAGATACCTTGATTTGTTCCCTTTGGATCCGGTATTCTTCTAAAACGAAAGTAATTCGAGTTTGGAGGACCAAACTCTTTAAGGGAGGAAGACTGTAACAACCCCAACCCGTGATTAACTATTAATCCATGATTGTGCATAATTCATAGGAAATCATGTGTTAAGTGCATCAATTATATGTTAATTGCATTTATATTGGTCTATCGTAGAAGTACATGTTTGTGTCTCTGTTTGGTTTTGTGAATTGAAGGCTTATCAACATTCGATCATGAAATTGACTTGATTTATGTGTTATTTAGAATTTTTTGAATTTTATGGTAGGTTGAATTGAAATTCAATTTGAAACCAAATAATTAGAATAAACTGATTCCAATTAGTTATCTTTAACACAAATTAATTATATTTCATTAATTGAGCCTATATAAGGCTAATTTGACTCTATGAGTTCATTTTGCACCTTCATTTCAACCTCTTTGAGCTCCAAACGTGAGAGTGAGTAAGAAGAGTGAGCTTAGAGTCATTTTGGAAAGGAATTAAGCCCAAGTAAAGGGAATGGCTAGGAAGTGAAGACATTAGACTTAGAGACTCAAGAATTAAGCCTCTAGCTCTCACTTTGGAAAGCCTAGGTAAGAATTCAACCCTTAGATTGTACAATTATGATATTTAGGACATGAATTCTAGAGAATTAAGTTGTGTAATACAAGAATTGAGCTAATAAGTTGGTAGGAAGATCATATCATGCATGCATGTTCATTTCACCATAATTTGAGTTTGATTTTAAAGAATTCTCACATGCATGTGCTTCTCTTGCTTTTGTTTTAAGAATTCAATATGTTTTTGTGCTTAACACCTCATTTGAATAAGGATTAAAGCTTTGAAGCCAAGAACCTTCACACATGTTATGTTTATGAAACATCAAATTTGATTTCACACAATTGACATGCTTTTGGGCCTTGATATTTGCGAAATGATCTTCAATTCATGATATTTTATAAATTTCCAAATGTCTTCTTGAGTTTTGGCCCAAGAGGATGAGTTTTGATGTGTTAAATTCGAGTTTTGAACTTGGGAGTGCAATCTAGAAATTCCAGAATTCTGCTCCTCCGTTCGAGCGACAGATCCTACGCTCGAGTGACCACCTTTATTTTTTTGTACCTCCGCTCGAGCGACCAAAAGTTTGCTCAAGTCTAAATTGCATGCTCCCAGAAGTTTTTATGTTTTGCAAACCACTCAAGCGACAAGAGTTGCGCTTGAGCAAAGACCTTAGTCTCATGCTCGAGCAACCGTCGAGCATGTGTCGAGTGAAAAAATTAAGCAACCAGTACTTTTGCAAAGTTTACAGACCGCTCGAGCAACCAGAATTGTGCTCGAGCGACCTCTCACATTTTTGAACGTCCACTCAAGCGAATGAAGTTACGCTCAAGCAAGGCCCTTGTTTTTAGCATAATTGACTAAGTGTTTTCAAGTGCATTTTAGCATCCTCATTGCATCCTAGGCATTCCTAGGCCAAGATTAAGGAATAATAATGAGGATAAGACTTACAAACACACAAAGAACGAAATAAAATAAGTTATGTACAATCCAAGCGTGTGTTTCACTATGTGTATCTGTTATGTTGGTGTAGGTCGCGCCCTGAGGTGTTGATCCATTGGTTGCTATCAAGCTATCTGTGCAACTATCAGTGAGTGATAACGTAGTAAAGCTATGTTTGATATGAAGTACTTTCTGGACACTATGATATGATATGAACCGTTTCTAAATGATACAAAAGGCTATTTTGTGATTCCATGAATGATG